GGCCACTAGATCCCCCCTCAGCCTTCTCTTGTGGAGGCTGAACAGGTTCAGGTCCCATAGCCTCTCCTCGTAGGCCCTGCCCTGCTGCCCCCTGACCATGCAAGTGGCCCTCCTCTGGACCCTCTCCATGTTGTCCACATCCCTCTTGAAGTGCAGCGCCCAGAACTGGATGTAGTACTCCAGCTGCGGCCTGACCTGTGTCGCATAGAGGGGGAGGATCACCTCCTTGGACCTGCCTGAGATGCATCTGTGGATGCATGACAAGGTATGCTTGGCCTTCCTGACTGCATCCCCACACTGTCAGCCCATGTTCATTTTGGCATCAATAATGACCCCAAGATGCTTTTCTGCCTCTGCACTGACAAGAAGGGAGTTCCCCAGCCTGTAGGTATGCTGCTGGTTCTTCCTCCCCAGGTGCAACACCTTGCACTTGTCAGTGTTGAAACCCATCCTGTTCTCATCCGCCCACCCCTGTGACCTGTGTAGGTCCGATTGCAGCCTATTCCTCCCTTCTAGCATGGCCACTTCTCCCCACATCTTAGTGTCGTCTGCAAATTTGAACAGGGTGCTTTTTACCCCCTCGTCCAAGTCACTAAGCTGGTAGTGTTTAAGCGCATATTAGATAAACATTTAGTTGAGATGGTTCAGGCAAGGATGATCCTGCCTGGAGCTGGAAGTTGCACTAGATGGCCTCTTAAGGTTCCCTTCCAGGCCTATTTCTCTAGATCCTCAGGCATCTACATGAGACATTTAATGCAGAGGTGACTAATTAGCTCTGCAGTAAATGTTTCAACATGTGCATGTGCGCCCCTATTAGGGCGCAGGAAACTAATAAACTCCGCAGCAGGGTAATACTTGTAAATACAAGTACTAGCTTGCTGTGGAGTTTTTTGTGTGCAGCAGCACACACGTAGACACTGACCCAGCTGTCTGGGGTACAAGGGGGCTTCAGTGTGGGGGCTGCCTGCTGGCTAGACCCACACTGAAGCTCCCCCATGCCCCAGCCAGGCCCTCCTCAGCACACTGAGCCTGACCAGAGCAGCCCTGGGCTGGGAAGCAGACAACCCAGGTCCACTGCCAGCAGAGGCTGCTCCGACCTGGCTCAATGTGCTGCAATCTGGGCACACATGTAAACAGGGTGTCTATGAGCTTCCCAGAGCAATAAGTTCCCAAGCTTATTGCTGCTCATTAACGGCACATGTAGATGCCCCCTTTATAACCAAGCTAGCTCCAGTCACTGGTGAAGGTGGGATTAGAACCCAGTTCTCAGCAGCCCAGTCCCCCTGGCTCTAACAAGCCAACACTGTCCTCTGACCTCTGCACCTACCAAACGGAAACTATTAGTCCTATTAGTCCAAGAGGGAATCCAACCAGTAATACTTTTGTCTCCTGGGGAAAAAATATCATCCGTATTGGTGAGTGGGTGGTTCATAGATAAGCCAAAGCAAGCCCTTTCTGCTGACTGGAACTGGAGACTCCCTCCTCCCACTAGGAGAATAATACACAATGGTAGCTTACAAAGGTCTGGTAAAGAATAAGCACAAAACATGTTGGCCCAGTCACTGTCCTTTCAGCTGAGAATAGAGCTTGAGAACCCTGTTCCTTAGGCCAACCTTTGGCATAAAACCTTTCCCATGTGTGCACTTGAATTCAGAACCAATCCATGCTTCATCTGAAGTTGTTTAAGAGCACACATCTCTTTCCCCTCTGCCAGTTAACCTCCCTTGCCCAAACAAAATAGCCACTATCAGAATTGCCACACATAGAAAGCACTTTTCCTTAGCAGCTGCTGCTCAGCAAGCAACCATCTTCAAGGAGCTGGCCACAAGAATTCCAACCCCATCCCCATCCCAAAGAGAATTTTATCTTATTTTTGACAGTAGACAGTCATCCAGCACTTATCTAAATCATATTCCATCTACTATCCACCTGTCCAGCCCATAGATGTATTTGCATCCATCTGGAATTCTTCACCATCTTCTCTGAAATGTATTGGCCCCCAAAATTCATGATAGCACCAGCCTTTACAATCTTCTTGTCTAATTTCTCCTCCATTCATAAATTCCAGACCAAAAAAACAAACAAACTATGTCAAAGAGGAATTAAGGGTGAAAGAACATAGCAGTAATGTAAATGGTAAAACATGTTAAAAGCTAAACTGGGTGAGTAAAAGTTGAGATTACACTTAGAAGAGATTTAGATGTTTTATGGTCTGGAAATGAAACAACTTTAACTCTGCTCCGTAGACCCACCATACACTTATGCTGAAGGCATTTTGTTGTGTATAGCCCCAAATATAGGGGCATTTCATATTCCCCCTCCCACCCTCATTGGAGTCACCACAAAGCAGATTTGAGGTTATTTCAATGTCTTAAACGTCAGTCTATCCTGGCAAGGACCTTGTCCATTAGATGTGAAGAGTTACCTCAAAAGTACAATGTCCCTGTAACTATCACAGCCACCACCTGGGTGAACCATCTGTCAAAAACTCCTCGCAAAGCCAAGCTGTTAGAGCAAGGGGCATGCACCATTTCCCTGGCCCACACCCACTACAAAATGGCATCCAGAAATATCTTTTGGAGAGGAATTTGTTAAGAAACAGCATCTCAGAAGCTGGCTAGCAGTCAAAAGGTCTCAAAAGCTGCCTGGGTTCATATGAGCTGCAGGTGCCCAAAGATACAGTCAGCTCCCTAGCCTAATGAGCTCGCTTAACTGGTCATGAGAGCGGTTTGTCACACAGGTGTGGCATTCATGGGGAAACCATGCATACATATATGTCTTATGCTCTAGGCAGGCTCCCACACTATGTGTTCAATGTGGTGCATAGGGCAGGGTAGAGGAGGTGGGCTGGATCACATGTGATGGCTGCTCATGGAATGGAGTGTGTCTCTATGTGCACTAAGCCCACTCTGGGAAGCTTGGGCCCTCAAACTGAACCCTAGCAAAATAAATCTGAAATCAAGGGTTATCACAAACCTATGGATCAATGACATGTCTGGAAATGCATTGGGTCCTACAGACTTTTTTTCCCCCCTTTAGAGCTCCAGGTTGAAAGCCAAAGAGCAAGACTTACTAGTGCAAATCTCCCTGGTTGATTTTATGTCTTTGGCGAGGTGCCAGGGAGTGAAATCTAGCAAGCTAGAATTGCCAGCGTAATGAGCATTAGCGCTACTGTTGGGATGGCATTTAATCAGAATAACCCCTTGAGGCAAGGTAAACATGCCCATATTGCATTGCCTTTCCTGTTTTGTTAGGTAACACAGTTGCATCCTGCTGTTCTGCAAATCATTTCCTCCCCTCTGCCTCCTGGTCCTCCAGCAGACATCAGAGATAAGAAACTAAAACAGGGCAGGAGAAATGGGCTAATGGCAGGAGCTATTAAATGCTCACTAGAGAGCATCCTGGACACGAGGCTTTCTACATGGGAGCCTAGCACGCAACAGAAAGAAACAAGAGCAGGAGCAGAAGGAAGTAAGTGTGGGTTGATCATCAAGATGGAAGTCTTTGAGATTGGGTGGTGAGTTAAAAAAAAAAAAAAATCAAAGCAAAATAAGCTATGCATATTCAACTATATGCAAATCAGGCCACTGGGTTATTTGTATGAGGTCTATAGATTTCTGGAGCTTCTATTTTCATGTGCACCAGATCTGACCCAACAAGTTCTCTCTCTCTTTCACTCCTCAGGTACAGCAAGGAGTCAAGTCACATCCCATTGAGGCTGAGACGCAGCTCACACATCCCCCAAGCTGCTGCTTGTACTCCTAAATATGCTGGCTAGTGCTTTTAGTCTCTGCTCAGCCCCATCTGTGGCTCTAGTTTCATCAGCTATGCTGTCATAAGTGATTCATCAGAACCAGGAGATGGCCCAGGAGACATTTTGTAGAGATGGAGCCTTTCAACCCTCTCGCTGCTGCCCCAGGCTCTTAGTACTGCTTGTGTACATCTCCAGAGTCTTCCCAGCTCAGGTGACTAAAAGCCTTCAGACCTGGCTTACAAAGGGCTCATACCACTGTCATTTGAGAAGCTTAGAGAACAGACCCAAATCCAGGGAGATGTTGACTATCCAAATGGCAGAGGACATGGTCCAGATCCCACAGGAAAGTTAGCCTTGACACTGGGAGAAAGAAGGCAGTCCCCAGTTGAAGGTGGTAGGCCTGAAATCTGAGGGGGCTGCCTCAGTAGATGTCAGCACACCTCACTGGGGAACTGTCCCAGAACTGAGAGATCGACTGCCTGGCAGGGAAGAGTGACCTTCCTGTAGCCCACCAAGGCACTGCTCACTCTGTTTCAGTTTCTCTCTGGATTTTCAAGGGTCAGCAGACAACTCCAGCAGGATCTAGCACTGTGGTGACATATCCCTCTAGCTAAGTCATGCCAATGTTCTGCCCCTTTGAGGGAGGTGCAAGATCCAAGACAAGATGCAATGAAAACTAAAGGAGTGTCATCCATCCTGACTGGACCCAGCTCCTGAGGTGACAGCTCTCTAGTCTCACTGCTCCAAATGTGCCTTCCCTGTCAGGAGACTCAATAGGGAGCCATCTTTTCCTCTCAGCACCCCCTAGCCAACCCTCAGGGCCAAGAACTGAAAAAGTCCTTAAAGAACAAGCCTGTACAAGACCTCAAACAGCTTCTCTTCCCTAGCTGGGCTTGCCAACCTTCCCTGCTGGGTCTAATCACCAAAAAGGGCCATTCAATCCCTAGCTGATGAGAATCAGATGGTGTGAGAGTAACTCACTTGTACGAGGAGAGGCTTAAGTCCAACTCCCTGTAAGGGGCTAACCAGCACGTGGCACAGTTGTCAGTATGCCCTAGATTTCAGGGCAGATTCATGGGCACTGGAGGAGGAGGTGCCAACTAACAGTGTGACTCATTTTGGGGGGCCACAGCCCTAGTAGGGAGAAGCTGGCCTGGATCTCCAAGAGGAAATCGCCATGGTCCAGGTTGTGAAGGGAAGGTAGAAGAGATATTCAAGATGATGACCTGTGTCCTTCAGGAGCATCAGCATCTGCCCAGCTGC